ATTAGTTACTCGTTACTGGTAACGAGTAACTAACATAGTTACTACTTGCTAAGTAACTAAGTAACTAAGTTCGTTACTTTACCTAGTAAAGTAACGTCGAGTAACTAGTAAAGTGCCACCCCTAGTGGCAAAATGTCTCTTAAGATGATTAGTGGTGTGCCTCTCTACTTATACTGAACTCTAATATAACGACATCTAATGACATAATATTCTACGTTGACAGTTCAGCAGCACGTCAACGGCAAAACCGTCGCCGTTCCCATTGGAATTTTTGCCAAACCAACGTGAACGGCTACAGACCTATTTAAATCAGTCAGAGTCGATTCTTTTGCAAATTAATTGAACCCACTTTTGATAGAAATTAATTGAAATTAGTTTCAATATAAATTAGTTCAAATGAATTTTTGAAGTGTTTAATATTTTTTTGACAAAGTGTTAGAAAAAATCCAAAGTTGCTATAGCATACCTGACATACCTAAAGGCTAACTTTCCCGGACCAACTATTTGCGAGGAATTTAACGGCAACTAGGCAGGTAACCGTAAATAACTGGTCGAACGGTTAACCGTAACCATACATAACCGCTTTATAACAACTTAGTATATACTTGATTTTTAGTTTGTTGATATCGGTTTACATTAGAAGTAGACAAGGATCGTCTTTGTCCAGACGCTATAGTGCAAAACAATTGATTTCATGTTGAATGATTTATACGGTGAGTCGTGTATGTGTGTGTCAACCGGTCAGAAGAAAAAGGAAGTAAATATTTGTTATATTTGTGAAAAGAAAACAAATCCTAGATGGCTTTTAGAAGTGGCAACGGCAGAAACTCACCTTCACTTTAATGGAAGGATTTTCGTGCAACATGAGGGTGTGAACATGGGCTCATCCCTGGCCCATTGCTTGCCGATATTTTTCTTGTAAATTTAGAAAAGCAATTGATGAAAGAATTACAAGCTGCAGGTGTCGTTTTCTATCGTCGTTATGTAGATGACACATTCGTCATTGTAAAAGAGAATTTGGCCAAAAATAGAATTTGGCCTCAAGTCATCTCTATGGATCAAAAGGTTAGATGTTTGAAAGATTTTTGCAAGAAAACGTCCATGTCTTACGTTAAGCATTGTGTATGTGCTGCTTGTATACTAGCTGAAACGGCCGCTGCATTGGCCAATTAATAGCGCAATGAATTGCTCGATTAATCGATAGTAACTAGTTGTACCCAGTTGAAGCTAGATTCAACCTAGCTGAAGCTATATCAAATTTTCATGTATTTCACTGGATCTAGCTGAAGCTAGATAAATGTACCTTTTAATCTAGATGCAGCGCCCGCTTCATGATTTTTTTTCGTGCTTGGGTATAATGTTATCCATGACTCTATCCAGAATTTGTAAGTCATCGATACTTTGACCAGTTATATTCGTATCTGTATGCATACTGAATACATTGTCTAAATCTTCCAGATTAATCTCAATATTCGCGACAAAAGATGATGCACCACAAATGATATTATCTGAGATCATCAGTCGTTGAGCATTACAGACACGGCGTAGGGAAACAGATGTGGATGTCGAATATGACGGTTGTAGGTTAGATACATTGAGCACATCCTCATTTGCATCCTTTAATTTCCGTTTTATACCTGACATATTTTCAACTATCTAACATTATAATGCCAATAAATGTTGCCTCTTCGTTTCTACCATACACTACTAATAAGCATAATAGTAGGCGTCGCGTTCAAATCTGAGTGTCAGTAACAGAGGTTTTCTTTAAATATGCAATTTATTTCGAGCAGGATTAGAAATATTAATTCTTGCGCCAAATCGAAATTTTAATTTTTAAAATGTTTTACAAGTTATAAACGACATTATGAAACCAGCTAATTCTTATAGCCTGTATCTAACATACTTTTTTCACGAGAAATTTGCTAACATTTTTTTGGTTTATATAACCTTTACTAAAGTTAAGGGAATGATGAGTTCTGTGGAGCGATGACGGAGTTTCCAACTTGAATTTTAGAGGATTTTCATACCGTTTTTTCGGATGAGCAGAGAAGTGAACTAGTTCAGTTTTTGTAGGATTTAAGTCTAATTTCCACGAGTTGCACCACACTTGAAATTCATCTGTAGCTTGTTGTAGGCGCTTCTTTAAGTTTGTGAGAGTATTTGATGATGAATAAAATTGCGTATCGTCCGCATATAATCTGTATTCACAGTGTTTTGAATTTTTGTTGACAGAATCATAGATGAAGAGAATATAGAGTAGTGGAGAGAGAGGAGAACCTTGAGGTGTTCCTCGTTTCATTTTAAATGGTTTGGAAAGTAGATTTTCTAGTTCTACGTAGGCCGATCGATTTTCCAAGAATGATATCACCCACTTTATTAGATATTTGGGGAGTTTGAGATCATTCATTTTATATAGAAGGCCGTCTATCCATACCGAGTCAAAAGCGGCTTTAATATCAAACAAAACAACAGCAGAGTGGCGACGCTTTGAGAGATTTGAACGAACATGATTTTCGAGGCGAAGGACATTGTAAAGGGTGCTTTTCTTCTGTCTGAAGCCTGCCTGATGCATGGATAAGATATTTCTTGATTCCAAATCCGACATCAGGCGTTGTTTGATAATTTTCTCTCGAGTTTTCCCCATGTATGATAACATGCTTATTGGTCTATAGCTTTTCACATCTCCTTTATCCTTGTCTGGCGTTAAGAGGAGAATGATATAAGCCTTCTTTCAATGCGATGGAATGTACCCAATCTGAAGACTAGCATTAAAGAGGCGAAGAAGATGTTGGATTAGAGACGATGTATAATTTCGAAGGCAGCGATAATGTATGTTGTCTGGCCCCGAGCTTGTGTTGCCGAGAGGCTTCAAGACATTTTTCAGTTCTCTTTCTGTAATAGGAGGAGCATTTCTCTGCGGTTGTTTGTAATTCTTTCTGATCTTTTTTACAGTGTTGGTGATGTGATTATGAAAAGGGAGGTGGCCTGGTGTGAATTGATAGACCTCTGTTTCAAAATATCTTGCGAACATTTCGCATTTCTTTCTCTTGGCTTTAGCTATTTCATTCTGATACTTCAATGTGCTGTTGTAGGTCTGCTTTGTCCGTTTACTGTGGTATTTTCTGACTAATGCCCACACTCTAGATGAGTTCATTTTTGTCCGGCAAAGCGTGGACATTAGTTTCTTTAAACTAAGAAGACGATAATTTCGAAGAGTTAATGAGTAAGATTTTTGTTCTATAGTAGTGTGATCGTGCTTGATCAGTTCCAGTCTTTTTCCATCTCTGATACCAGAAATGTTTTTCTTGGATAAACGCTTTCGATATTTTACTTGGTTCAAATCGTTTCAGACTATTTCCAGAAATTGAAATAGCCGCTTTCGAGGCAGATACGACACATTCACTGATGAATGCATTATAAGTCTCTAGTTCTGTTGGTGAACAAACTGTTTGGTTTTCATTTCTGTGAGAGAGACAATTATTCAGAGTCTGTCGAAACAGCGGCCAGTTAGTTGTTTTGAAATTGAAAGAAACTCTTGGTGATTCAGGTTTGCTATCTGGACAAGCATCGAATTGCGATGGGTTTGTGTCCAGAGTTTGCTCCTAAGCAAGGTTGCGTCACGAAATTTGAGATAAAATAAATTGTGGGCTGACTGGCAATTACCCAATCGATTTTCTCTTCGTACGATCCTCGTTCGAATGTCGTTGAAGAATCTTCAATACACATGAATACTCCACCTTCTAACAGTTCTTCTAACAACTTACCATTTTTGTTGTTTTTTCTTGATCCTAATGCTTTTGAGCATCCGTTAATATCTCCCATTATAATGCAGTGTTTGTTAATAGAATACAATTCATGGAATAGAGTTAGATCTATTTGTTCTTTAGGTGGTACATACAGAGAAGCAGCTAATAGTAGTATTCCTGTGATGATTTCTATCTACGCAGCCACAATTTCGTTCTGATTCCTAGTTTTGTTCATAACTTCATGAAACCGTAAATTTTCCCGCATGGCTAATGTCACGCCTCCGCCTAGCTTTACGGCACGATCATTTCGTACGATCGTGTGCTGGGGTAAGAAATATGTTTCATTGTCTTTGAGAGCTGTTTCATTTAAGCTCAGAACGTGACAGTCCGGAAACCGAGCTATAATTTCGTCCTTATGTTTTTTAGCTGAGCATACGTTAATATGAACCAAATTCATTACGTACAGATCGTTGATAGTTCGTTTTTATTTTTGACTGTTTTCGTCCATCTGGGCTATGTTGCGATATTTTGTTAGATAGCGTTATTCTGTGATTGTGAGGTGAGAAGTTTTGAGTGGAAATGTAAGCAATTTCTTTTAACGCGGAGCGTTCAACAGAATGCGAGAATGGCTCTGTAGATGTTGTTTTCTTAGCAGTGACATCAAACAATTCACTTTGTGTTGTTGTTGTTTTGATTTCTGGTTTTTCTTCTTCTTCATTATCATCTTCTTCAAGTTCCTCATTCTTATTGCCATCTGACATGTATGCAATTGGTTCTTCTACTGTCTGTTTACTGTCTGGATCAATGAGTTCTTCTTTACTATTTGTTGACCGAAGTTCCTTTTTTAGTTGCTTTACAAGGTTTTCAAATCGTTTTTCCATCTTAGTGAAGAAAATCTCAGCTAATGTTTCAATATATTTCATTTGATTCGTGGTGCTCAACTGGTCATTTTGAGAGAGAGAAGGAAATTCATTTTCATCATCTATCCAGGTAGATAATGGCTGTTGCTGTTGGACGTTTAACTTTTGTCCTGCCGAATATCTCTCTACATTGTTTCTCATTCTCTTTTGCTGTTCTTTATAAATTTCACATTGTTGTGATGTGGCCTCGTGACCCTGTTTCTTACAGTGAAAACACGTAGGTTTGGCTGTTGATGGTTGTTGGCAGTCCGAGGTCTTATGTTTATCACTACAAAATGCACAGTTAGGTTTGTCTTTGTTTCTACAATGTTTGTCTAGGTGTCCAAACATTAAACAGTTTGTGCAGAGAAGTGGTTCCGTCTTTTGCTTACAGGCTTCTGCTGTAAAATGTAAATGTCCATAACGAAGTCCGACTCGAACAAAATTGTTACGATTTTCTGCGTCGACAAACTTTATCTTTACAGTTGAGCCTGGACTAGTCTTTTTAAAATTTTGGAATCTCTCTACCCAGTATCGAAAATAACTCATCCAAGTCAACTTTCTTGTCCCGATCGAGGCGCGAGTAGCGATAAAAGGTTGTATCACAAAGAGAGTCACGAAATAAGACGCGAATGATCGCGCTCTAAGAGTAATCATACAACATTCTCGACTGTCACATAGCGATCGCGGTTCACTTGCCAGTGTCGCTTCGCGATCATACAGAAATCGCGGTGTCATAACTAGGGGTGTTAATTTAGTTTTATTTTTCATTTATAATAATGGATAAAACTAAATGAATCATTTATACTTAAAAAATAAAGATAAATTTTTCATTTATATTTAAAAAATAAATATAAATAAATGAAAAAAAATTTATCTTTATTTTATAAAAGTAAATGATTCCTTTATTATTTCTACCTTTATTTTTAAAAGTAAAGGTAGAAATAAATAAATAAATATAAAGGAATCATTTACTTTTATAAAATAAAGATAAATTTTTTTTTCATTTATTTATATTTATTTTTTAAATATAAATGAAAAATTTATCTTTATTTTCAAAAGTAACACTAAATTAACACCCCTAGCCATAACGCGATAATATTCGAGCCGCGGCAAGATCTTATTATAGTCGATATACTCAGTTATTATCTGTCCTTCGCTTTATTTGGTGTTTGATCCTGCTAAAACAACAAAGGATCCACAATGCGCACTTTTATCTTATGCTTCTCTTTAGTTTAGTAGTTTCGCTTTTAGGTAACGGAAAATGGAATTAATTCGTATACAAGAAATTTTGTTTTTAGGCGAAAGTGGTTATGGAAAATCAACAATCGCACAACTCATTGAAAGATTTTACGATGTTAGTCATGGAAAATTGGTAAGATTTAATGTAAAATTAAAAATAAGCGAGTTTCATCCCTATATGCTTATGCATCTGCATGTTTTTATTAAAAGTATGAATTCTTTGTGATAAGTAAGGTTATAGATCATCATGCAGACCATAACTTGAGGCTAATAGCAGACAGTGAACTTCTTTTTCTAAATCATTTAACATTTAGTTTTTTCTAAATAAGACAAGGGCCTATCGAAAAGGTTGCAAACAATTCAGAATGACAGTATAAGATCGAATGCATCATGTCTTTTGACGAGATCCTCTCAACTAGCTCGTTAAAATAACTACCAGTAGTTACCCACTTAAAGATTAAGAGGCTTCTTGAATGAATATATTGAGGTTTTGCAAATATAATTCACAAAACATTTTGCAGTTTCATTGTATGAAAATAACTTGAGGTTAAAACTTCATCAATTTAGCTATTGAGTTTGCTAAAATACAAAATACATGCTTGTAAAGTCATATCTTTATTCTATAGTAGGAGGCAGTTCCGACGAAGGACGGTCTAGCCAAGTTCAGTTCGGAATTTTAGACATGCCGATCGATCGATCGTTGAAGAAGAAAAGCCAGTCTTGTCGAAATATCCAAAAAAAGATTTTAAGACTGCAGTTTATTTTTTTGAAAAAACTCATTGAAATTTATTTTTCGATCCTACACGCAAATTTTTTTCTTCACGGATTATAAACTTTCAGTTTTGTGTTTTTCTCTAATCCATGACTACTTTTAGCGGATATTTCGTCCGTTCATCTCTCTTGCACTATTGAACTCCAATAAGAACTTTGAAAGACGAACTGCTGTTTTCGTTTTCCACGGATTATAATACAGTTGTCTCTTCGTATAATTGTATAATTTTTAATGCAGAAAACGTGTTTTGATCACCAAATTTCTTTCTATCGAAATGATCACCAAAACATAACACTTTTGATAACCAAATGAATTAAAGAAATTTAAATTAAAGAAAATATATATAAGAAGAATATATAGCAATTAATTAGGTTCATGCCCAAACTCCGCACACTTCCATCCACCCACCGCCTTTGAAGATTCTTTGATCTGAATTTGAAGTTAATTAAAAGTGTGCGAAGTTCGCGAAGTAACGATTAATTAGCAATGATTACCAATTAACAACAAAAAACAAGAAAAAACAAGAAAAAGACAAGAAAAAGAATATAAAAGTTTAATTTATTAATATACAACTGAACATGAACAAATATTTACAAATAAATATATTAATGTTATATTTTTATAGCCACACATAAACTACAACTCTGATCTTATGCTGACTTTGCTGGTATGAACTAACGACAAGAACTTCATTTTTTGTCGCTTCACTGCTAGAATGTTGTCGAGTGGCTCGCTCTCACCACTCCCGCCACCACCTCTATTGTTCAAGTTTTTGCACTCTCCTAGGGGGATTTCTTATTTCTAAAGTTTCCGAAAAATTCGAACTTTTTACTCTCGTTCCCGAAAATAAATATTCGAAATCTATCGTTCTTCACGCTTAACTGCAAGATTGTCCTTTTTGGTTCAAAAATATAACATTAACGATAAAATTTCTAAAAACTTCTACCGTTGAAATTAAACTTCAGTTCTGCTCACATTTCTTCTTGTAAATACTTCCTTTATATTCTTTTTCTTGTGTCATTAATTGGTAATCATTGCTGATTAATTGCTATATATTCTTCTTATATATATTTTCTTTAACTTAAATTTCTGTAATTGATTTGGTGATCAAAGGTGTAATATTTTGGTAATCATTTCAATAGAAAGAAACTTGGTGATCAAAACGCTCCTTTTTGGTGATCAAAATATACATACCCACCCAGGTAAGCAAAACACGGGTGAAAGACTAGTCTTTTTTCCTAGTCCGGACGACCGTCTCGACTAGTCTTTACGACAAAAACGCCCCGTCATGAACCAGAGAGTATTAATCAAAACCCAATACAGACTTAGATCCGTCGCGAGAAGCTCTCCAAAACCTGATATATAACTTTCTGTTTCGAAATACTTTTGAAATCCGACAGGGTCCTTTTCACGTGTTGTCGGAGTAATCGATTTTACCCATGTCAAAATTCAAACATCCAAAGAAAATGAAAGCAAAACATTGTTTCACAGTTCATGTGCTTCTTATTATTCTAAATGAATATGTCAGTTTTGTTCGCAATCTGTGAACAAAACTGAGTCGAATGGAGGGAGTATTTTACATATGGTCAAAAGATGTCCAAAAAAAACCAATAGATAATAGGCATGGGTCATTCTGTAAAGCTATCTAGCTTTTTGTGTAAAGGGATGGAAGCAAGTTTCATATGCCATTCGATTCGCCGTGAATTAAGCTTTAAAAGTATGTGTTTTCAATTCAGTTTTTCTAATTCAGAGGCGAGAAAGTCGGAATTCTGCTAGTAATTCTCAGTTTTCTCCATCAGGACTCAACTTTTATGCAGTAGACATGATATTCAGAATCAGAATAAAAAACTGAGTCGGCTGATCTGTACTGATGTGTAGCACGCAGTTGTCTTTTTTCTCCGTTACTGTTTAGAGAGAAAATTTGTTCTATATATGCATTTCATGTGCTCATATAAGAAAAAAAGAAATCAGAATTAAGAAATGCAGGATCAAAGAGAATAGAACAAAATTGGCACATTTTATATTTAGACTCAAATGGCAGTTAGCTGTTCTGTGTTTACGATGATGTGATAGTGAACTGGAACTAATAAATATCCATCCCTAGTTCTTGCTCCTCTTCTATAAGGAATTTTTGTACACACCGCAACAACATGAGTTGAAAATTTGTTGTGTATCCACTGAAAAACATTGTAAAACTCCTGCATTTCGTCTGGTAAAAATGCGTATTTTGACACTTTCTACCCGTGATCACAAAGAGGAAATTTCTTAGATGTTTTAGAAGAAAGGCGCGAGATTGTTTCGTTTTTCGCGAGATGTCCTCGGTCGTCTTAGCAATCCTTTCAGATTTCTAAAATACCTCTTTTCAGATCAGGAAATTAGCAGTCGCATCCCAATTTTAATACTAATTCTCAGTAAACAGATGAACACATGAGTTTCACCCAAATCTTTAGCGAAATGCTTTATTTCTCAAAGACTTTCTCTAAATTTTAAAAATTTCAATCTACAATTCTGGAAAGGTCAGTTTTGAAAAAAACTTTTTTAACGTGTAGCTGAAGACTTGTGCTTTTATGCGTGTCAAAGGTAAGATTCATTTATTTAGCAGTTATATTAAAATAAAAATGTGCCTGTACAACCAATTTTCCGTTTTTCAGTGGGTACAGTAAAGCAGCACTACCCAGGTCAAAGAATCTTGCTGTAAGATCTTACAAGATTCTTGTACGATTCCGTCTGATTTCGTAAGATTTGTATAAGAATTTGTAAGATTCTGTAAGAAATATAGAAACTGGTTCTTGATGTAACATCTTATAGTAAGATTTTCTCTCTAAACACTAACGGAGAAAAAAGACAACTGCGTGCTCACTATAAATTCATCTTATATTCTGTTCACCTCGGGAATTACAACTAAAATAGTTAGAGAGGATCCATTTCTACTTTTTATACTAAATTATTTCTTGTAAGGGGCAGATGAGAAACTGGTAACTGTTTTACAACGGCTATATTTTGTTTATTAAAATGAATCGACGTTTCGAGCTCACTAGAACTCATTATCAAGAGTAACTCAATACAAAAATTAGAGTGAAAAATGAGTATATTCAAAACCGA